AGAAACGCATTAGGACTGGCTACATTAGGGGTGTGTGGCCTAACATGCAAAGAAGTTCCTGCTACAAAAAAAAGCCCAGGGTTTTGACAACAAACAAGGTAAACAGAATAAGAAGCAAAAGGTTGGTGTGGCTGGAATACCACACTTCTGGTAACATGTGGGTGCGGCCTGATATGCTAATGAGTGGTGCTGTCAGGGGTGTGGCCTCTGCTGGGCTTTTTCTACAAAAAAAGCCCTGATCCAAGGAATCCGGCTGGGAATTGCAATTCTGTCTGGGGAGAGAGTTAGTAACCCCTACAAGAATTCTCAGCACCTCAGGAACCTCAGATTTCTGCATTTCTTTGGGGAAAACCATGACGGTTAAAGTCATATAAAATGAATGTCATTTTGTAATGTAGATAAAGGACATACCTGTTAGGTAGGCCAGTGCTTTATGGAAGTTCACAGTATTTAGAAGCATTGCTATGCAATAGCTCATGGCACTGGAGTATACCCTTGAGAGAAAATTTTGATTTGGGCAAAAAACGTGTGCTCTATAAAATACTTTTTACTGTCTCCCAGCTCTGCTTGGATGATACTGTCTCTCCAGTAGTGCTGAAAGCAAAGTTCTCGGTTGCAGAAGAACCAGATACCGCTTCCAGGAACCTACGACCCGTCCTTGAACCCGGGACCAACTTGTCCACCACGCTTGAGGTATTCGTCTACTGTTTACCCTGTGCTTTCTTCAAGGCGCTCAGGCCAGTATTCATGGTTCCCTCCTGCCTCATGTCATCTTCACAGTGACTAGCCCGAGGTCACACAGTGAGCTTCCCAGCTGGTTGGAGATTTCAAGTGGGGTCTCCAGAGGCCTTGCCCAATACACGGCACCACATTGGCTCTTAGGAACGGCTTCCTGGGTGATTCCTGGGGCTAATAACTAGGGTTGCCAGTTCTGGGGGAGGAAATACCTGGAGACTGGGTTTTTTTTGGGGGGAAGGGTGGGGTTTGGGGAGGGATCGCAGCAAGGTACAATGCTATAAAGTCCATCCTCCAAAACAGCCCTTTTTCTGTAGAGGGACTGGTCTCTGTTGTCTGAAGATCAGTTGTAATTCCGGGAGATCTCCAAGCCCCCACCTGGAGACTGGCAAGCCTAAAATAACCAGTTCCTAACGGAGGAGCTGCGGTGGCTCAAGTGGTTAAGACGCTGAACTGCAGGCTGTGGAAGGTCAGTAGTTCAGCAGTTCGAGACCCGAGTGTGACGCATGACGGAGTGAGCTCCCGTCTCTAGTTCCAGCTCCTGCCAACCTAGCAGTTCGAAAGCAAGAAATTGCAAGGAGATAAATAGGTACCACTTCGGTGGGAAGCGAACAGCGTTCCGTGCGCCTTGGTGTTTAGTTATGCCGGCCACATGCCCACGGAAACGTCTTCGGACAGCGCTGGCTCTTCGGCTTTGAAACGGAGATGAGCAGCGCAACCCTAGAGTCAGATTCGACTGGCTTTCGAGCAAGGGAACCTTTACCTTTACCTTTTTAAGAGATCTCTTCCCATGCTGTCCCTTCTCTCCCCTGCCTCGCAGGTTCCTTTCCAACAGAACTGTGGCTCAGATGACGTTTGTACGTCTGATCTTCGGATCTCTTTTAACTTTTCTGGGTAAGCAGCAACTTCTGTGCATCCCAAGGCACACGCTGATCTCCCTTCCTCCATTTTTATCTTCCCAACAACCCTTTGAGTAGAGTTGCTGACAGGCCTGGAGAAAAATATCCTGTCCCTTTGAAAGAGGAAATAGGCAGCTGATAGGGTTGCCAGGTCTACTTACCCGTCCGGCAGGGGGTGGAAGGGAGCCTTCCGGGAGTGGGGAGAGTGGGGCGATGTCACTGTGCAATGACATCATGCAGAAGTGATAGGGTTGCCAAGTTCTAATTAATCCACAGTGGGGGACTCCCGGTTTCCTCCGGGAGCGCGCGAGCTTGCGAGCCCGTCACCCGTAAGTGATGCGGCTGCGCCCGGCTGTGCTTTGGGGGTGGGTTTCCCCCCGGGGCCCGATCCGCTGGGAACGGGCCTCTAGGGCAGGGGTTTCCCCGCCCCCCCGGAGGACTTTGCAAGCCTAGGAAGTGACATCATCACGCCGGGCATGTCACGTGGCGACGCTCTAGCATTTTGGTCAGAACTCTGTGGTTACCATAGAGTTTTGGCCAAAATGTTAGAGGGCAGCTGCGTGACGTGCCGGGCATGATGACATTACTTCTGTGTGATGTCATCACGCTGATGATGATGACATGAGAGGGGGCTGTTTAGGGGTGGGGCAGATTAGAGCCCCCAAAATCGGGGAAACCCCTGCCCCAGCCGGGGGTCTGGGAAGCCTAGCAGCTGAGGCTTTTGAGGGTATGGAGGTAAATAACATCAGCTGGTAAATAATACCCCATTAAACCTCTGTTTAAGGAGCTGCGGTAGCGCAAGTGGTTAAGATGCTGAACTGCAGGCCGTGGAAGGTCGGTAGTTCAGCGGTTCAAGATCCAGGTTGCCGCATGACGGAGTGAGCTCCCGTCTCTAGTTCCAGCTCCTGCCAACCTAGCAGTTTGAAAGCAAGAAATTGCAAGTAGATAAATAGGTACCACTTCAGTGGGAAGGTAACAGCGTTCCGTGCGCCTTGGTGTTTAGTCATGCCGGCCACATGACCACAGAAACGTCTTCGGACAGTACTGGCTCTTCGGCTTTGAAACGGAGATGAGCACCGCAACCCTAGAGTCGGACTTGACTGGCTTTCGAGCAAGGGGACCTTTACCTTTACCTTAAACCTCTGTTAAAGGGAGAACAAGTTTTCTCTCCAGACAGTTAGCAACCCTGTGGGCTCTGTGGTAGGTTAGCCTGAGTGGGTGTGTGACTGGCCCAAGATCACCCAGTCAGCCTTGTGGCAGAGTGGAAGGTTTGAACTGTGTCCTGCACTTTCATCATTACACCACACCAGCTCGGTCGGCTCTCCGCTGATATGAAGCCCGGAAGCAGGCCTGTCAGGGTCACCGAACATGCTGGGGGCGATCCTCTTGCCTTGTGCGTTCAGTGCCATCTCTGGGGCACAACCTGAGAGTTGTGCCCCGGCGATCCACTGTGCAAGGGATGCTCCTCTTGGGCCACATACTCTGTCCACTTCCTTCAGCCCACCTGGTACACAAGTGTGGGAGCCGGGTGAGCCACTTCCTCAGGCAGCTCTCCACAGGCCCGGTTAGACTGCTTGGAAGGACAACCAGGCCCAGGTCATGTCCATAGGAAGGCCGAGTGTGTTGGAACCCATTTCTTGCAACTCCTGGGATACTGGGATCACAAAGTGGGGAGGGGAGGGGAGGGGAAAATAAAAGGACTTGCGAGAATCCCCTCCCCCCCAAAAAAAGTTGGTTTCTTCGATCTGAGCAGATGTTTCTGTCTCTGAATTTCAGGTCAAAGGGTCTCAAACTGACTCCCAGTTTCATACTGAACTTAACTGTGAAACTGGAAAATGCGGGTGAGACGGCCTATGAGGCAGGCCTTTCCTTCTACTACCCCCCTATTTTGTCTTTCCAGGGAGCTTCGGTTCTTCAGGTGAGTTGGGGGAGGGACACAGAGAGGAGGAGGACTGAGAGAGACTGGAGGTCTGGGGGTTCCAGGAAGACAACAGAGGGCTTGTGGGGTTGGTGTTGGTGTGTCATTTCAGTAACACAGGCTCAAACTATATGCTAACTGCAGTCCCTGTGATTTTTTTAAATGAAAAGCTGCTACATGAAACTGCAATATTAAAAGGGGGAAATGGCTACTCAACCCTTCCCTTTGGGGTGTTTTTCTGTTCAGCTCCCACAGAAGAAAAAAAAATACAGGTCCTTGTGTCCTTTCTTGGAGGTTTGGGAAAGCAGTAGACTTCCCTATGGCCCACCGCTGCTCAGAGCAGGGTAGCTCTAGGAACTGCTGGAAACTCAATGGTTTCTGGTGATTCCTCGAGCTACCTTTTGCCACTTCTTGGTTTTGTCCAGAAGTGACCTAGACACATAGCCAACATCATGTGCACCAGCACTTGCATAGCCCCAGCCCTCTCACCAGTTGCCAGACTCAGCCTGGCAATTCTAGGAAACAGCCCAAGTGTATTTGTGTTGGAGAACCCAGCTCTGCCATTAGCATTTTAAAATGGAAAAGTGTTGGAGTTTGCAAGTTCAATTTCTTCAGCCGTGAAAGAGTTAACCTGTTTGTTTATATGTGCTAAATCTTAGTTCGAGTAGAACTAGAAAGGGAGGTCTCATTCATAATGAAGTGACCTTTAGCCTGCCTATTTGCTGATAGATATGTTGGTGATGCTACCTGTGACTTTGCATGTATGTGTGTGGGGGGGTCTTCCTCCCTTTGTTCTCAGATCAGAACAGAGAATCCATCATGTAATAACCAGTAACTCATTAAGTTGTAGCTAGTCAGATAGACTATTTCGTTTTCTTCTCATGTATCCCTTCTCTAATTTTTCTTTAGTAAAGTTTATCCTTTTAAAGCTAAACATACATTCTTCCGCTTAATTACTCTCTGCTAATTTACACAACAAAAAGCAAGGTCCTTTAAGAACATATATTTTCCCCCTTATAATGTTACTGACAAAGCAGGCAGTCTGGTTTTGAATGGTGAAACCAAGAGAGATTGAAGAGTTAAACCCCTTCTTACTTTCCCTGCATGGCCCCAGGCAAACTGAGGCTGCACAAACCTGGAAACTGTTTTATTCTGATCTGTGTGAGCCATCAGAGCCGGAGGTTTCAACATTTCCCAGCAGCTCTTGCCATAGAAGCCTGCTCTGCCGGCCGGTACTTTCTCTTGTTGTTGAGTTTCCCAGCCAACCATTCACTACTGGAGTGGGGGGGGGGGGGAATAACCTACTTTTAAGCCTCTAGCCTGCTGTGTCATTTTTGCTACTTCAGGATAAACAAACAGCTCCATTCGTCGTCTGCAATCCATTTGCCGTTTGATCTATTTCAATGCCTCCATATCCCCTTCTCCCCCTTGCAGTCGACCTGGCGTCTGTCCCCTTTTTGTGAAATGCACGGATCCCAAAGCAACACGTCCGTCCGCCACAGTGCCTGCCGTTTCAGCCCACGGGATCTCAAGGAAAGCACGCAGGTAGACAAATGGAAGTGAGGGGACAGGGAAATGAGTGTGTGCGTGAAATGAAAGTGTTTGGCTATGAGTGACAGAACGAAAGCAGGGGCAGTTGTAGTCATTCAGAGGCCCTCAGAATGGGGCCCCAGAATCACTGCCGCCGCCGCCGCCGCCACCTCCTGGGCTGCCTGTCGCTTCAGTATCAAGCAAGGAGCAGCCTTCACACTGTGCAAAGGATATTGTAGCTTTGGAAAAAGTGCAGAAAAGGGCAACTCGAATGATAAAAGGGTTAGAACACTTTCCCTATGAGGAAAGGTTAAGGCGCTTAGGGCTCTTTAGCTTGGAGAAACGAAGACTGAGGGGTGACATGATCGAGGTTTATAAGATTATGCATGGGAAAGAGCAGGTAGAGAAAGAGGTACTTTTCTCCCTTTCTCACAATACAAGAACTCGTGGGCACTCCATGAAATTGCTGAGCGGTCGGGTTAGAACGGATAAGAGGTAGTACTTCTTCACCCAAAGAGTGATTAACCCTTGGAATTCACTGCCACAGGAAGTGGTGGCGGCTAGAAGCATGGACGGCTTCAAAAGGGAATTGGATAAGCATATGGAGCAGAGGTCCATCAGTGGCTATTAGCCACAAGGTATAGATAGGGGCTCTGGGGCAAGTGATGCTCTGTCTTCTTGGTGCTTGGGGGGGGGGGGTTAACAGTGGGAGGGCTTCTAATGCCCTGGCCCCACTGGTGGACCTCCTGATGGCACTGGTATTTCTGGTCACTGTGTGATACAGAGTGTTGGACTGGATGGGCCTTTGGCCTGATCCAACATTGGCATCTCTTATGTTCTTATGATAGCCACCGCTGACTATTCCTTTTCTTTCTCCCTCTGCCGGGGGGCAGAGCCACAGGCCCTCAGCCCAGGCCCCACTAGGGCAGCTGCCCCCGATGCCCTGTGGCTAAGACTGCCCCTGAATGACAGTAGGAGGTAAAGAGAAGCTCGATAGCCAGAGCTGTTTGTGGGCCCCAGTTGTCTGCAAAACAGAAAGGAGCATCACAAGAGATGGTTGGCTTTCATTTTTACAAACCATGCTTCCAGCCCTGGTGACACTGAAATCTCAGGAGTCGGGCGAGAGCTCAGAAGGGTGGGGATCAGTGTTCCCTCTAAGCTGAGTTAGTGTGAGCTACCTCGCAGTTTCTCAGGAAGGATGGCTCCAGAGCAAACTAACTTATGCAGTAGCCAAATCGCTCCCTCACAACTTTAATGCCAGGAGGGAGCATTGGTGGGGATGCTCCACAGCTTGGAGGGAGCATTGGTGGGGATGGTGAAGAGAGGGCAGTTTTTAGCATCAGAGCAAAGCCGTCTGGATGTTCTGTGGAGGCTCTATCTGATTTTTCAGAACACTTACCTGGCATTTTCCCAGCATCTTCTCAAAAGGGTATAAAACCAAAACTGTACAAACACTAAAACTGCAACTGCATACCAATCAATACAAACAATAAGCCCTCTAAAGTGAAATCCAAAAGGTCAAAGGAAATTCTACAGCCCCTTTTTAAAATTCAAGGAAACAGGAACGATTCCTTGGGCCCAGAGGGAGTTGATACACACGGGGTCATCTGTTAATTGAGTGGCCTCCGAAATTGCAGCTGAGAGCAGAAACCTACTTTTCTCTTTTGAAAAGAGATGTGAATGTGGACAGGAAAAGGTACACAGTCCACATGATACTTTTAATTAGGGTCTACCCCAAATGATGCAAAAAACTGTACAAGATTTTGTATCTTATTCTAGATTTTGTGTGGGCCAGTGTGGCTTTTTCCTAAACAAAAGAGTCCTCGTGATCCTCAAAAAACAGGATCAGGTAACTGCGGGGGAAATCGGGCGAAGCCGCGAGTCAAAATGCAGCCCCACAGCTTCGGGTGTGAAATTGACCAATAGTATCGGGGCAAACGGTGGCGCAACATCGAGGCAGCTCTAGTGCGAAATCAGCCTCTGTGTTCCCACCTCAACCTTTTCCAATGTCCCTATTCCCTTCAGGCCTTCCTCCGGCTTTCCTTCCGAGCCTCCAGAAATGACTCCTGGGATGAGAAGTCTGTTTCCCTCACTGTCCGAGCCCAGAGGTAGGGGTGGCCTCCAGCTTGTCCGTCTGTCCCTCTGGCTCCCGATTCCCCAGCCCTAATTTTGGTCTACCTCTCTGCCTTCCAGTAAGAACGAGAATGACACGCTGGATGACAACGAGGCCACGGAGTGGCTCCCCGTGCTGCATCCTGTCAACGTCATTGTGAAGGGGTATGGTTCTTTGTATTTTCTGCCATCTCAATCTTCCCCTCTCTAAGTACCCGTTTCCCCAGGATGGTCATGAAATAATTCAGAGAGGTATACACCTTTCTGGGGGAGGGGTCATAGCCAGTGTTCCCTCTGAGTTGAGTTAGTGCGAGCTATCTCACAGTTGTTTAGCCTCTGGCTCACACATTTTTTGTCTTCGCTCAGGAAGAAGGAGGGCTCCAGAGCAAATCGCTCGCTCACAACTTTAATGCCAGTAGCTCACAGAGTAGAATTTTTGCTCACAAGACTCCACAGCTTAGAGGGAGCAGTGGTCATAGCTCAGGGCTTCTCTATGTCTTTATGAAGTCCTCATGTTCATTGGGGAACAACATGAGGACTTTGCATCAGACGTGTGAGGGGAGTTTTCTTTTTTTCTTTTAAAGTCTTTTTATTGGTTTTTAACAGTAAAACAGATTTCAATAACTTTACATACAAAGTGTCATCTATGATTACTGCTAGAGTTGTCTTAATAATAAAAAAACCTAATGTTATTACATATGAACAAGATAACAAGTTCAGCTAGCATAACAACAGTTGCATGGAATATTTAACTAGATTCGGTAGTAAGATGACTGTGGACCAGAGTTTCTCTTATTCATGCACTTTAATATATGTAGGCATTGTGCGTGTAATGAAATGAAACCAGTTATTGGCTTAGTATGCTTAGATATATGTGATTGTGTGGTCACAGATCTGAGGCGAATAGATATTCCATGAAAGGTAGCCATTTTTTCCGCAAAAGTAGACGGCTTAGGATAAAGTTCTGAATGACGAAGACGATCTGTTATTTTTTCCATTATCAATTGATCCCACACTTTATTCAGCCAACATGCGCGAGATGGGGCTTTATCCGCTTTCCATTTGGATGCAATCGCCGTTTTGGTTGCCACACAGAGACACAGAGGCTGGCTCTTTTCTGCTTGTGAACAAAGCAGGCAGGGAGAAGGAGCTCGAGCCTCTCCCCCTGGTGCTTCTGCCTTTGCCAACCGCCTGGTGGAGACGGCTGTTGGCACTGTTGTGAAAGTCACGTTACTTAATGTGGATAGGCCCAAGTTTCACAACAGAGCTCCCCCCCCCCCCCCCCGCGAGCGCGCCCCCCCCGAGAATGATCTTCCCCAGAAAGACTGCACCAGAGCATGACCGGGAAAACACTCTGCGAGGGAAACCCGGAAGGAGGAGGAGGAGGAGGAGGAGGAGGGCACAACATTGTCCTGTGGAAGCAATTTTTTTTTTAAAAAAAATACTGCTGTTGGTGGCAGAATGTGGGACAAAACCTCCGTGTGAAAGCGACTTGGGACTGTGGCACCGTGGGACTTGCGCCTGCCTGAATTCCTTTCCCGTATCTCTTCCACCAGGCTGGAGTCCACAACATACCTAAATTTCTCTACTGGGAGGTTAGAGCCAAAGATTATCTCCCACAGCTATGAGGTAAGGTATTGGCTCCTTTTACCCGTCTCCCCCCCAACACACACACAAACCATCCCCGCCCCTCACTTATCCCCATTCATGCCGTCCGTCCACTCCTGTTCCGGTAGGTCAGGAATTTAGACCAACGCCCCATCCTGGTCAACGTGACCTTCGATTTCCCACTGCGGACTTCAGTGGGATTTTTCTGGAACGTAACCCTGATCCACAGTGGAGTGGTGAGTAGAAGAGGAGGGCCTACGCGTCAGGATATCTGGATGCTTTTGAGTGGCTGAGAAAAGGGATCGCTGCATTTGATCTGTACACACACAAGTGCCCATCAAGTTGCAGCTGACTTATAGTTTCTCCAGCAAGGGTCTATTCGGCAAGTGAGAAGAGAAGGGGTGGTTTGCCATCGCCTTCCTCTGCAGAGCCTTCCCTGGTGGTCTCCCATCCAAGTGCTTATTGGGAGAGCTGGTATAGTTAGTACAGTTCCCAGAGCTAGTTTAGCAGAGTGCATTAAAGCTACACATCGCCAGCAAGGGTCTGTTCGGCAAGTGAGAAGAGAAGAGGTGGTTTGCCATCGCCTTCCTCTGCAGAGGCCTTCCTTGGTGGTCCATCCAAGTACTTATTGGGAGAGCTGATATAGTTAGTACAGTTAGTTTAGCAGAGTGCATTAAAGCTACACACACAGGAGCATCTTTGCACCAGGTATCCAAGCTTAGTCACAAAGTTACACAGAGCCACCTTTCAGACGAATAAAAGTCTATTTATTTGGGAACTGCATTCTAGATGGGAAAGCTGAGGGATAGGATACTAAGATGGAGACAGTGCGTCCTCCCTCTTGGTGTGTGCAAGGAGAAGTGTGTTGTGGGAGAGGATGAAATGGAAGGAAAGGAGACGCTTGAGATCTGTCAGTCTACTTCAGAGGGACAGTGGCAGAAGAATAAACACAGGAAGGAAGCTTAATCACACTGTCTAGCTATCTGAGTCTCTTGCCGTGTAGTCTGGAGGCTGAGGGCAGGGGACAGCGTCCAGTCCTCCACTTCCAACTGTACTGACGAGGGTTGCCAGGTCTACCTACCCGGGCCGGTGGGGAGTGGGAGGTAGATGTCGGTGTGATGATGTCCCACAGAAGGGACGTTATCATGCCGGGCACGTTGCACAGCGACGCTCTAGCATTTTGGTCAGAACCCAGTGGTCAAAGCTCTAGGCCGCTCATGTGCCAGGCGTGATGACGTCCCTTCCACGGGACATCATCACGCGGACAACATCGACACGAGAGGGGGCTGTTCATGGGTGGGCCTCCCCCTGCTGGCCAGGGGCAGCCCCCGAAATCGGGGGAACCCCCTCCCCAGCTGGGGGTCTGACCACCGTGGTACTGACCCTGCTTCGCTTCTGAGATCTGATGAGGTCTGGCTGTGCCACGCCACCTTCCCTCCCCGTTTGATCCGCGGGTGAATAGAAAGTCAAGGACTGTGGGGGTTGTGGGGAGCGGCTTGTAAGGTGGAGGACTAAATTCCCCGTGCTCAGCATGCAGGCAGAATGACGACCCCCTGTTGTCTTCTAGAAGAGCCAGTCCGTGTGCACGCATCCGGTCACCTTCCAGATGGCAAATGTGCAGAACTCCAAGGAACCCATCCCAGTGAGTAAACGCAGCCGCCTGTGGGGCAGGGGGGGAGCCATTTCGACAAGATCCTCCCATGCCGAGGACTGCGATGTGGCTGTAACTCGGAGGCAGCAAAGGTGACTAACAAATGCCCTTGTCCTTTTGCCTTTGGACAGAGAGGGTGCCTGGGGGCTTCCGCCTGCACCCGGGTCCGGTGCCTGATTGCCAGTCTCTCCCAAGAGTCCATCCGGTTCAATTTTTCTGGGGAGTTTTTCAGACCTCAAAGTGATTCCAAGGTAGGTGGTGCCCTCTTCAGGTGAAAAGGGAGTAATGCCGCAGACCCGTTGCGGAATACTTTTCAACAGGCTTAGCTGGAATAGTGAAGAAGTGCTTGAGTCGTCCCCCAGAACACATAATCAGCCAGGCTTCATGTCTAGTGAAAATTAAACAATCAAAAATCCTCCTGTTCAGAAGTCTGTCTTCTGTTCCTGTGCCACTCTTTGCTTTGACTCTTTTAGGCAGGTAATAGGGCTGGTAAACAAATGGTTCAGAAAGATGCTTTGATAGGATAAGGGGCTATAGACTATACTAACCCTGTACTGTCTCTTGCTGTAAGTGTGCCCCTTCACCATTGTCTCATCTCCATATCAGATTTCTGCTTCTCTTTAAATGTCCACAGTTCAAACCCTATTGCCTTATTTATTGGATGTCCCATGCCATTGATTGTATGGACTTACACTGTGTAATATGTTTTGAGTTTCAGTGAGAAAGGCAGACTATAAATAATGTTAATAGATTTTAAAAAAATGAAATCAACTTCACACATCTAGTCATCGGCTTCATTTTTCTCCATCCCTTTCTCCCTTACTATATCACTTTTCTTTTCCATCTGTATAACAACAGAAGAGGAGCCCTGCTGCATCAGACCAGTGGTCCATCTAGTCCAGCATCCTGTCTCACACAGCAGGCAACCAGTTCCTCTGGAATGCCAACAGCAGGGAATAGAGGCCAAGACTTTCCCCTGATGTTGCCTCCTGGCTTTGGGATTCAGAGATTTAGTGCCTCTGAATGTGGAGGTTCCCCTCAGTTACCATGGCTAGTGGCCATTGATAGACCTATCCTCCATGAATCTATCTAATCCCCTCATATCTTGTAAATGTGGGACATCTCTGTTAGATTCAGCAACATTTCCTTAATATAAGGAATAATAAAGAGTATCTTTGAATTGTTCTGAGGACAATCTGAATAGCAGATGTACCTTTTGTACCCTACATTTAATTTTTCTGTCAATCCTACAGCTGCAGTCTCAGAAGCTCCATCTTCGCAGTGAGGCATCAGTGGTGATAGATGAGTCTAGATTTTTCCAGAATCAGCCAGAGGAATTTCATTACAGCCAGGTAACTTGGAGGGCAGAATTCCTGAGAACTATGGTGCAAATCTTGTCAGGGAAATACTGAAATTGCAGTCTAGCACGCAATTTGGTCTTCCTGTCACACACACACAAAATTTATTTACAAAATTTATACCCCAACTTTCTGCCCTCATCAGGACCACCGAGGTGGCTGTATGTCTTTGATGTCCTGGAGCATCTGAATTAGTATTAAAGAGTATCTCTGAGTACATGTGGAGTACTCTTTCCTTACCATTATCAGCTTCCCCAAATATGGGATTAGAGAGAAGAGCTTGAGGGTCACTGAGGGTAGAAAATCCAGTCAGGCTTGTGGCCCATTCTTAGAAATGACATCCTGCGGGAAGAGTTTATTTCTCCTCATACAATGGGCAGCCTGACACGCTGGCTTATCCTGAGGGCTTAGAGAGGGTGGCAGCTGAGAGGCAAGGATGACTCCTTGTCCCGTTTCTCTTCTGACAGATCACCACAGAAATTGAGATAATTTCGCCATTCAACCCCATTCCTATCATCGTCGGCAGCAGCATTGGAGGCCTTGTGCTCTTAGCCGTTCTAGTGGCCGTCTTGTACAAGGTACAGCCCTCTTGTTTTCACCGCCAGATAGACTCCCGTAGATTTCTTTCTTTGCCTGAACCCTGCCTTTCTCTCTCCTCTATCCAGTTTGGATTCTTCAAGCGCAACCGCATGCCCCAAACGGGTGAGGCCCCTGCTGGACAAGGTGCACCTGTGGAACAAGCGGCCCCACCGGCAGCCCAGGCATCGACTAACTCCTGAGAGGGGAAGAGGATGGTGGAATCGGGAGGAGCCCGAGAGCCAGGATTCTTGGGGGTTTTGAGACAAGGACGGGGCAGGTGGATAAGAACAAGGCAGACTGGGAGGAAAGACTCGTGAAAAGAAGACCAGGGTGGGGAGGGGATGATGGGAGAGGGGGTTAGGAGCCAATAGAATAATTTAATAAAGCGAGATTTCTTGGGTTAAAAAAAATCAAATGCCTGTTTCCTGCTTCACGAGTGTTTTCTGAAACAAACCAGTGAGACACCAAGTCCTGTCTCCTTGAGCAGAGTTACACCACTAGGAAAAAACCCCATGCATGCAATATAGTCATGCTTAGACTACACGACCTAAAAGGGAGGCAAGGTTTAGGGTTTGTTTGAAGATTTTCTCCAGTCAGAAATGTTCTGTCCTTTGAAAGAACGTGAGGGAGAAGCACAGCAGTAGACCAACTTACTAATTTTTCTCTCTCTCTCGTTACTAGCAAGACTTGGGTTCAAAAGGAGGACAGCTTCTCCTCAAAGTGGTAAACCTGGGTTCAGGGGCTGTACTATTTCCAGCTGCGGGTGCTTGTCTGAATATTCCTTCATACCAAAACAAAACCTCCATTTCGAAGGTTAGACAGAAGAGTTCTAGCCAAGCCTTCTGCCTCTCTCCCTGGTGGGCTTGTTGTCTGTATAGAGAGTTTTTCTCGTTGTTTTTTGTAAGGAGGAATATTGAGTTGTGTTTGTACCACATGCACACAGATGTTTACCACCTGAAGGACACGGAGACTCCCTGAGCAGTGGCAGAAGAAGCCATGTTTCTTTGCTCACTTCACTGTTCACATGTAGAAGGGGGCAAAGGGCATGCTGTGAGAGGAACGAAATACATCCTCCTCCCTCCTCACCTCTTCCAGATTCCCAGCTCAGCTCACTTCCAGTGTGCCGCAGGGAGGGGCACCAATCCTAGGACCTCCATGGAAATGGTATGGGTGGGGGGAGGGCAAAGTCTATTGACTGTAACCAGTGTTCCCTCTAAGCTGAGTTAGTGTGAGCTAGCTCATAGTTTCTTAGCTTCCAGATCACACTTTTTTGTCTGATCTCAGGAAGGATGGCTCCAGAGAGGACTGATTTATGCAGCAGCCGAATCGCTTGCTCACAACTTTCATGCCGGTCACTCACAAAGTAGAATTTTTGCTCACAAGACTCCACAGCTTAGAGGGAACATTGATATTGTGGTTTTGATACCTGTAAATTTAAAATTCCTCTGCTGCCTGCCTCGTTTTAAGCCCCCGTCTCCCTCGTGTCCCTTTTGATGTTAACATTACACAAAATCACAGCACATATGTGAACAGAGCGGAAACATGAATGGCAAATGTGGCTGCTATCCTCATGCCTCATTCAGCCCTGGTTCTTGTCCCAAGAACCTTGTAGCTGGTGTGTGATTTGGCTTCATTGTGTCTTCTGTGACGCCCTTTCTTTTTCTTGTTCCTAATATCCTAAACTTGCAGGAAAGAGCTAATGGGGAAGAGTTGTTTATGTTTGTGAGCGGTGTCAAAAAGACAGAGGTTTGATTGCCTGTAGGATCATAGCTAGAAATTATTAAATCCATAAGGCCTGCATTGAATGGAGGATCCTTGCAGGTTTCTTCCCTTATTTCTCGTTTTGTCCACAATTTGCAGGGCCCTGACACAAACCTAGTGTTGCATCCAATGTTCCCTCTAAGCTGTGGAGACTTGTGAGCAAAAATTCTACTTTGTGAGCTACCGGCATTAAAGTTGTGAGCAAGCAATTTGGCTACTGCATAACCTAGTTTGCTCTGGGGCCATCCTTCCTGAGCTGAGACAAAAATGTGTGAGCTGCAGACTAAAAAAATGTGAGCTAGCTCAAACTAACTCAGCTTAGAGGGAACACTGGTTGCATCCTGACGCTGCTAAAGCACAGCAGTGGAATTCCTTGCTGAATGCAAAAAAAATCAGGTGTCCCCCCCCCTTCCTCCCGCTGTGCAAAGTGATCCTTCCCTGAGCCCTTGAAGGCAGAATGTCAGACTCTTTAATGGCCTTTTAGCAGATGGATTATCTGAATGCATGGATGGCCACGGCCACAAGGTTGATTGATTTCTGGCAGGGCAGCTGGTGTGTGTGTGTAGATAATGGATTAGTTGCAAGTATCTGGAAGCACCGTTTCAAAACAGAGGAAGTTGTGCCATAGTGAATTCAGCAGTGGACTTCCATAAATTCAAAGGGATGTGATTCAGGGTTCTGTTGACATCTTCTTGCCGCCTGTAAGTTCCCGCTCCACAAGCTCGTTTGGCAAGACTTTGCTTTACGTAGAGGTCCAAGGGGACCCACCTTCCTCTTTCTGCAAGGATTCTCTGGGGACCATGAGCCCAAGGCCTGGGAGACGACTGTCAGTCACTCCTCCCATCAAGCACCTGTCATGCCTGCCTCTGCTGATGACCCTGAGGAGGCACCTGCCAGCCAGGAGCATGTGGAATTACAGGCTCCTGAGGACAGTACTGCAGCAGAGACTTATAGGCAAAGACTGGCTCCTGTAGCAGAAAGCTCCCTAAGTGGCGAGGAGGATAGAGCCTCCCAGGAAACACCTGCACAGGATCAGTCTCTGCTGCATCACAGTGATTCATCATCAGACTCACCGCCACCTGTAACCAGGCTCCGGAATCTACAGAGACAGCAGCTGAGAGAACGACGACAGAATGCACGCATGCATGCCAGACGATCTCTTAGCCCTGAGTATTGACTGAACCATGACCTCCCTCCCTGCCAGCTAATGAGTTAATTAGCCAGCACTGTATATCTTCAAGCCTGTTGCTGGCAGGCCTTTGTGCTGGCAAACGTTGTTTGTCAGGACCTGACTCCGTGTATCTCTGCTCCAGAATTCTTGTCGTCTTGATCCTTGGCTTTTGAGCTTCGTTGACCCTGCTCGTCTCTGACTCCTCTGGCATCGTTTGGATTTATGGACATTGAACTCTGGTATGGCTGACCCTGTCTTTGGATTCTGATTTAAACCTGTTTGAACCTTGCTGCTTGTCTTACTCGGCTTGACTTCGGACTGCTCTTGGACTTTGCTTGCTTGCATCACGCCCCCAGGCCCTGCCGTAACAGCACCTTCTTTTGACAGAGAGGAAAGCAAGCTGCAAAAATGCCTGCCCAATCCATACAAAGGCAGTGGGATGACAGATACGTTCAAGGTTTATAAAATTCTATTCTATTCTACACGTATTCCATTCAAAAGAATAATGGGACCCCCGGTTTATGTACCGCACGGAGTCCCCTGCCCCCTGCCATCCCTAGGTACTCCCTCACCACAATATTTCCAGCCACAGGCAGTACTCCCTCTAAGCTGTGGGGTCTTGTGAGCAAAAATCCTACTTTGTGAGCGACTGGCAAAGTGGTGAGCGGGTGATTGGGCTACTGCATGAATTAGTTTGCCCTGGAGCCCTCCTTCCTGAGCTAGGACAAAAAGTTGTGAGCCGGAGGCTAAAAAACTGTGACCGAGCTCACACTAATTTAGGTTAGAGGGAACATTGGCCACAGGCCTTGATCTAAACATCCAAGGCGTCTCAAGCAATCTGTATTGCGGATTATGGGAACAGGCGAAAATTCCTAAAGAGTCAAAGTGGGAAGAGGCAGACATTGCAGGTTCCTGGAAACACACACTGAGGACGTTTGTGCACGCATGTGTCCACAGCATGACCGTGAGTCCCAGCAACACGGGAGCAGAAGCCGCCCATCACAACAGGCAGGTCTGAACCTGACTGCACCCTCCTGGCCGGGAAGGGACATGGGCTTACTGGGGGTGTGGTGGCTTTCCAGATTCAGCCCCTGGCAGATCCAACGGCAAGGGTTAGGAAAGCGCACCCCATCCGCATGGCCAATGCTGAGCTAGACAGACCAGCGGCTCTGACGCAGAGTAAGAAGTCAAAAAGACAGTTTCCATTTGGCTTTTATTAGAAAAACGTACGATATCAATGCGCCTCCCGCCCCTGGGGATGAATCACCTGAGTTAACTGGCCCTTCGAGCTTCTTGTCAGCTCCTAGAATGACGGCCCTGAAAGGGAGCTGCAGCTCCAGCCAGGTTTCTGCAGGCGCTGACTGACCTGTGCTTCACACAGTAACACTGGCTGCCCTCAAAATGAATTCACATAACTTCCACCGCAGAGTATCTGGCAGGGATATACACTCAGATATATCCTCTCTGAATCTATACCCCAAAAATACCTTATCTGTATTTTCAGGAGTGCCATTTGGGATTCTCAGGCATACCAGGACCTGGGCCCCATATTTATTTATAGCTTCAATTTATATACCGCTCAGACCCGAAGGTCTCAGAGCGGTTTACAGGCAAGTTTCAATGCACTTTAATTCCTTAACTAAGGCCACATAGTAACGGGGTGGGGCTGCCTACCGGCACCCAGGTGGCAGGCTGGCTGTTGTTTCCCGGCTCCGGCATTCTTCCTTCAGATGGTCCTCGGGGTCAGCGTCCCATTTTCTGGTGTCCTCCCGCTCGGCGGTCTCCTGGAGCGCAGCCTGTGTCAGTTCTAGCCCGGCCTACGTCCATATTCGGCTCCAGAATATTTCCAGAAACGTTTGGGACTATCTGGGGCCATTCATTTTAAGGATGCCAGGCCTGTTATTTCCCTCTTATGGGCAACAGGAAGGCAGCTCATGGTTAGCAAGAGTCTCGGCTGCCCCAGGGCGGGAGGCTGATAGCTGGTGGTAGTCTTGCCTGTCCCAACAGAGCTGCGAGTCTGGCTGGCTCCTCCTCCTCCCCTCCCTCCTTTGTGGGGGGGGGCAAGGGTCCTTTTCCAGGGCCATCTTTCCCCCTCCCATTCAGCACCCCGGGCAAGTAGACTGGATGGGGGCACCCCCCTTATTCAAGGGGCTGTAGGATCAGACCTAGGGCTGCCAAGTCTGGGTTGGAAAATACCTGGAGACTTTGGGGGTGGAGCCAGGAGAGGGTGGGGTTTGGGGAGGGGAGGGGAGGGGCCTCAGCATAGTGCAATGCCACAGAGTCCACCCTTCAAAGCAGCCTTTTTCTCCAGGGGAGCTGATCTCTGTCAGCTGGAGATCAGTTGTAAAAGCGGGAGATCCCCAGGCCCCACCAGGAGGCTGGCAACCCTAATCAGACCCCTCGGTCCCCTTCTCTGAAAACCTGGGGGATCTTTAGGAGACATGGAGCACCAGCACCCCCGGCAATTTTGGTGTCATCTGGCTGAAAAAACAGCCACTGCCCTCCCACACACCAATGCCCCCTGTAGGGAACAATGGAACCGGAGTAATTCTGGAATCCGGGAAAAACACAAACCTGAATCCCGAAATGGTGCTGGGGTACTCAAATAACATTGGGATACCTCTATTTATGCCCTTCTCAAAACCTGAATTAGAAAATACCGTGTATTTTTTCAGGTGTACATCCCTATTATCAGGGGGTGGGGAAGCAGGCACCTTCTTGGGCAGAGTCTTTTCGGGACAGAACGACTGGTCCCCTCCCTGAAATCTTCATCTGTTTATACGGAGGAATTGTGTGTGTGTGTGTGGGGAGAAACTAATCTTTCAGTCAATGATGCTGACAGGCCAAGAGGCCCTCTGGGGCTACGTCTTGCCTTGAAATGAGGGCAAGGAAGGGAGAGAGGAGCAAGTGGGCAGGAGGGCTAAACCCGGGTGGGCCAGTTGGGCTGAGCAGGCTTTGGATGGAGCTGGAGCCCAGCCTTGTGACGCCTGAAGTAATCAAAACCAAAGATCACCTCTGAGCATCTGCAGAGGACCCTTCTTCCACCCTTGAGAAGTCACCAGCCACCTTTGCCCACCAGGGAGGCTGACGCCCCAGCACCTTTCGACCCCAGCATCTTTCCTGACAGGAGCCAAGGGAGGAAACATCCAAAGGGTTCAAGTAGATCACAGGTGAGATTCATGAGAGTACCATGAAAAGGGGTGTGTGTGTGAGGATGTTCCCAGGGGAATAACCCCCCCACACACACACCCCTCATTCGATCTCTTTGAATGTGTATAAAGTGCATTGCTTTGGTGGCTGGCAAAGGGTCAGCACAGGACCCAGATCAGCACCAGGATCCAAGCCGAGAGGGGCGCCAGCTTCCCTGCAGAGCCTTGGCAGATGCACATCCCCTTGTCGCCGCCCACCCCGTGCCTCGGTGCCGGGGGAGAGGACGTGGGGGCCCCCTGGCAATACATCCAGTCTTGGGAGGCGGAGCGGGGGTAGCCGGCGTCCGACTGCACGTTGCCTGCAGAAAAACCCCAGTATTGGGTCCCCTTGAAGAAATACGTGTTGCCTGCAAAGGAGGACAGAGAGGACTTGGGTTGGAATAGATGCTGCGCGTGCAAAAGGAAACATCAAATCACCCGTGGCCATCGGGGGGGGGGGGGGGACAAGCAGTGTTCCCTCTAAGCTGTGGAGTCCTGTGAGCAAAAATCCTACTTTGTGAGCTACTGGCATTACAGTTGCGAGCGAGCGATTTGGCTGCTGCATAAATGACATTGCTCTGGAGCCCTCCTTCCTGAGCCGAGACAAAAATGTGTGAGCTGGAGGCTAAAAAAATGTGAGCTAGCTCACACTAACTCAGCTTAGAGGGGACACTGGTCACAAGTCCCAGCAGAGCCCCCGTTGGGGAGACTTCTATGCCTGACTCTCTTCCGCTCAGCCGTTTCGCACCAACAGGCAAAGCTACCACTTCGGGGACACTGGGACCTTCCTTGCTTGGTGGTGGAAAGTGCGCCCGATGTGCAGTCGACTTGCAGTAGCCCCTTAGGGTTTGAAGGCAAGAGACAAGCGGAGGTGGTTTGCCATCGCCTGCCCCTCTGCGTAGCGACCCTGGGCTTCCTTGGGGGTCTCCCATCCAGGAACTACCCAGGGTTGACCTGCTGAGCTTCTGGGATCTGATGAGGGCCATCCAGGCCAGGGGACCCTGCTCTGCAACAAACAATCCCCCCACCCCACCCCAGTACGGGTCTCTGCAGCAAATCTTCCTACGCAAGCATCGTTTTTTCTGTGGCTGCTCATTAGATACTCCCCCAAAAAGAGGGGAGAAAAACTAGGCCGACAAAGCCCAAACCTCCAAAGGAAGTTTAGTAAATTTATGGACGCCCAGAAGTTAAAAAGTGTACAAAAGGGTGTTTATTACAAAGGTTTAGTTATTATTTGGGCCCCTGCTAGGTTTTTATATGTCTTTGTAATAAACACTCTTTTGTACACTTATGTTTTTTAACTTTTGGCCCTCAATAAGTTTTCTAAACTTCCTTTGGAGGTTGCTGCTCATTAGATGTCAAATTCCCCTCCCACTGTAGCGTTTCAGTTTTCGGTGCAAGAGTTTTTGCTTGGGCTGGCCTTCGAGTTGAACGGCAGGCCTTTAGTGACTTTCCTAGTTACTTCTGGCGAGTCAGAATTCACTAAAAATGATGGGGCACTGATATTTTGAGAAGAGGTTTTATTTTTTTAATTTATTTCTGTGGAAGGGTCAGACAGGCCTATAAGAGAATCACGTGGCCTCCTATCTTTTGAGAACTCATTTGCAAAGTGGAGCAACAACGTATTGTCAGATTAGTATTTGCAACTAGGAGAATCTTTGGATTCAAAGTTAAGGGTTCTGCATCAGGGCTTGAGTGCTTCAGTGGGTACTAAGATATGTCGACTATGTGCAGTATAATTATGCTCCACTGTTTTATGACTATTTTATTTTTGGTTTTATTTGAAAATTGTTTTTAACTATGACTGTCAGCCGCCTTGAACCACAAGGAAATGTCGGATAGAAATGTTTTAATAAATAAATCAACTAACTAACAGGCCACAAAAAGGCAAGAAAGTTTGTTCCAGACTCTCCACAGGAAATACGTTTTTTCCAAAACCTACCGTCATTCCAGCGAGTTACATCATCCAGATCTGTGGGCACCCCTTCCCAGAGATTGACGGACTTAGGGTACCCCGGTTCCACGTGTCCCAGCTGATCATCGTAGCGCCAGTACTGGTTCTTTTCTAAGAGGTATGTCTTGCCGTTGTGAGGCCAGACAAATGCCGCACCCACGACGGTGTTAGCGGGAAGGCCGAGATCCGATACAGGACGGGGGTAGCCTGGGTTGACCTGAGTCTCATAGAAGACCCAATAGTATGATCCTGAATGGGCAGGGAAAGGACGAATGCTGAGCAAAGAGGGGAGAGCTGGGAGAAACCCTAGCAGGCTTGTCTAAATGACTGCCCTCAAGTATGTGACACATTCTGAAACACAATTTGAACCTTCCCATTTCCCTCTACTACACATATCCCCAAAGTGGGTAGTGTTTTTTTTAAAATTAGGGTTGTCAACCTCCAGGTGAGGCCTGGGGATCTCCCGCTTTTACAACTGATCTCCAGCCAACAGAGATCAGCTCCCCTGGAGAAAATGGCTGCTTTGAAAGGGGGACTCTATGGCATTGTACCATGCCGAGGCCCCTCCCCTCCCCAAACCCCGCCCTCTCCCAGCTCCACCCCCAAAGTCTCCAGGTATTTTCCAACCCAGACCTGGCAACCCTATTTTTAATATAAATTGCCTTCTATATCTGAGTACATCTGAGATGTTATACAAGTTTTTAAAATTGATCTTAAAATAATGAAAGGCAAAACACCCACAAAAAGGACCCCTAACCCACCTCAACAAACAACTAAACTAAAACCATCAGCTGTCAACAACACACCCACCTAGGGTTCCCAAGTACTTACCGTGATCCGGCGGGGGAAACATGCTCCCCGGCCAGACCATTCCTCCCTGTAACACACCGTGCCGTCGCCAGGAAGTGATGCTGGGCAATGCTCTGGCAATGGGACTGAAAACTCAATGGTACCATCGAGTTTCCAGCCCTATTGCCAGAGCATCGCCCGGCGTCACTTCCTGGCGACGGCATGGTGCGGCACATCTGTTGTCCCCGCAGGAATGATCCTGCGAGGGCGTCTGTGTCCCCCGCTGAATTACGGTAAGTACTTGGGAAGCCTGCACCCACCTAATGCATTAATGTGTCGAATATTCAAGTCCATTTATGACATTTAAGAGCAATGAGTGCGTGTGTGTGTTGCAGCCGACTTACTGCGACCCCAGCCAAGGGGCTTTCAAGGCCAGTGAGGAGCAGAGGTGGTCTGCCATGGCCTTCCTCTGCAGGATCTTCCCTGGTGGTCTCCCAAGAACTGTCCAGGGCCAACCCTGCTTAGCTAAGCACTCAGGGGTAATTTCGTAGAAAATGAGGTGCAGGAGCTCATTAGCATAACTCATTAGCATAAATTATTTGCATATGCCACACCCCCTGACATCACCAGAAATGTGTCAGAAGGCAACATGCACCGCTCAGGCTCCACTGGATTGTTTTGGATTGCTAGTTATTGGGGGTGGGGGGGACACGTGCAGATCTGCCCTCGCAGTGGGCGACATGCAGATCTGCCCTAACAGAGGAGGGAGAGCTTGTACCTGAAGGCAGGCCGGGGAGGGGGGGCTCTGCAAACTACCTGGCTGCTTCTTGCTCTGACTGAGGGCTGCTGGGAGCAGGGGGTGGGGCTTGTTACATGTGCCCGCCCCCTGGGCTCTTTACTGCCGGAGCTCTGCTCCTGTGCGCTCCTGCAGGAAATGACCCCTGGTTGCACTGTATTGCAGCGACCATCCTTTTGCAGAGGGGCTTTCGTGATCTAAGGGTGCCCAAATGCTTGTGGTTGCCAAAAAAAAAAAAAGAGCCAGAAAAATTGGCTCCCCCCAGGGCTTTTTTTGTAGAAAAACCCCAGCAGGAACTCATTAGCATAATCGGCCACACCCAACAGCAGAAACCTATTAGCATATTGAGCCACACCCCTGACAGCATGGCTCATTAGCATATTAGGCCACACCCCGTGCCTTCCCTTGACTTGCGCGGGCAAGCCGGCCCTTGGACAGGCTGGGGAATGCACGGGGAGGCATTTAAATGCCTCCCTGATCCTTCCAGGGGGGCCCCGGCCCGCCCGCCTTGGAGTCGCCGGGGGGGGGGGTCGCTCTCCAGGCCTTCCCTCTGTAACACACGCAGAGGTTTTGGCTGTAGTGGGCGTGGCCAACTCTGAAGCCAGCCGGAACTCCGTTCCTGTGCGTTCCTGCCCCAAAATAGCCCTGGCTCCCCCCACTGCATTCTCTCTCGGAACCCTGACACTTCGTTTCCCAGCATGCCTCACTCTTTTTTAAACATGAGGCTGCTCTGTCTTTCCAAAGAGGCCTCCAGTCCCGCCGCTCGCTGCCCCACTCACCAATAAAGAATACAATCTGGCTGTCGTTGATGCGTTCGTACACTGCGTCGATGGCCTTGAAATCGTGCGGCAGACCGTTCCAGAACCGCAGCGTCTGTGCCGGCTCCAGAGAAACCAGGTTGCGGCTCGGCTGCATCCTCCAGAAATGTTTTTCTTCGAAAGGTAGGGTGGAGCCGTCAATTAGGTCAGGAACCAAACGTCTGCCCCACCCCTTCCAAACCCACAACGTTCAAAGCTCGCAGAAGAAAACAGGGTTTGAGCAGAAAGGATGCCACACCACAAATGAGTATCAGAGTTATCAGAGAGTTGTCACGTTGCACTAGGGAATGGAAGTGCAAGGTGTGCAAATGGTAACAGAACAGGGGCTGAATAAGGAGTCTGCCTGCTCTCCACACTGGCAGGAATACGGTGGTGCTGGACTTGCCCTCTCCAGGTGAGAAGAACACCACTGGCCCCGGGAGTTCGGCAAGACCCAGAAGTACACACCCACCTATCTCCAACCAATAGGGCTGCCAAGTGGGGCTGGGTGGCGGGTAAACCCCCGCTTTGGAGGCCCGATTTCTGCCGCCGCGGAATCAGGCCCCAGGGGGAACTCCGCCCCCCGAAGTGCAGCGTGGCTGCGTCACCAGACGTCAATCACATCGATCACGTTGGGGGCGTGGCCCCGATCGTTGGAGGGAAAACTCTATGGTTTTCCCTCCGACGATCGGGGCCACGCTCTCAACGTGATCGACGTCGCGTGTCACTTCTGGTGACGTGCTGGCGGTGCGCGCACGTTCTCCTTCGGCTCCTGGAGCCCGGCGAGGCTCCCCACCGCCAAGAGAAATAGACGTGGCAACCCTACCAACCAACCTTGGTAAGCTGAAGCTAACACAAAAAGAGTCACATCGCCCTGCTGAGAGGCTGGAGCCCACTGGCAGAGCGTCTGCTCGGCATGCAGAAGGTGACAGGTTCAAACTCTGGCATCTCCAGTTAGAAGGATCTCAGACAGCCGATACTGAGAAAGCCCTTTTGCTGTCTGAGGGGTGAGAGGGCCACTGCTAAAGTGGATGACACTGAGCCAAGGGGACCTGTGATCCCCAGGGTTGCTAGAGCCCTGCCGGGGGCAGGGGAACCCTCAATTTTGTGGGGAGTTTCTCCGCCCCCAACTGGCCCGAAAGGCAATGTGATGACGTCACCTGGACGTGATGTCATCACATCGCTGACATCACACAGTGACACTCATGTTTTGGGGCAAAACTCTATGGTAAAATCGGCTACAAACCATAGAGTTTTGCCCAAAAACTAGAGCGTCCCCCCCCCACGTTGGCGACATGATGTCACTTCACACGTATGGCCGATGATCCTGGAAAGGACCAAGGATCCCCCTGCCTGCCAGGTAAGACTTGTCAAGCCCTACTGTGATCTGATTCCACATAAGGCAGCTCCCTATGCAGTGGTGGCACCAGTTTTTTAAAAAAGTGAATAACAGCACAAAGTGGCCTGCACTATAGAGCGGGAATGAGTAATGGAGTCCCCATTGGCCACATCGAGGCTGGTTTGCTCAATCCGTAGGCTGAGAGAAGGCCATGAACCTTGGGCACCCCCCACCCCATGCCTGCTATCCTGGGCAAGAAGCATCCTTACGCTTGAAGAAGAACATTTCCCCACGGATGTTGGCGATGGCGTCAAAGTGAGCCTTGCAGCGGTCAGGTGACGGCGGGTGTGTGCTGAAAGGAAGAGGGGAGAATGCCG